AGATTTCTCTTTTTTAAAGACTTTATTTTTATTGGAAAGGCAGATTTACAGAAAGGAGTAGAGACAAAGATCTTGCTTCTGCTGGTTCATTTCCCAAGTGGCAGAAACAGCTAGAGATGAGCCCATCTGAAGGCAAGAGTCAGTCAGTAGCTCCTTCAAGGTCTCCCCATATGGGTGCAGGGTCCCAAGTCTTTGTGCCATCCTCACTACTTTTCCACACCACAAGCAGGAATCTGGATGGGAAGCGGAGCAGCCAGGACACTAAATGGCACCACGAGAGAATTAGCCAATTGAGCCATTGCACATGGTCCAAGATCTTCTATTACCTGGAAAATAATCCTTCCCCTGCAATGGCTCCAATAGCCAGGGCTGGGCCAGGTTGAAGCCAGAGCTGTATCAGAGTCTCCTATGCAGGTGGCACAAGACCAAGTACTCACACCATCTTCTCCAGCTTTCCCAGGCAAATTAGCAGGGAGCAGGATCTGAAGTGGAATTCAGAAGGGGCAAATTAACCTTCAGTGTCGCCCATTTAAGATCTGCAAAATCTATCAAACTTTCAAAATTATTGCTTTAGTAAAAAATTTTAAAGGGCTCCTGGGGTAAATTATAAATTTTTATATAAATAAAAACAAAAGTATACTTTGTGATTTTCAAAGTTCTTCTGAAGTCATAATGCTGGATATAAAATGCTCTGGATTCCAAAGAACTGAGCAACAGAAAACTATTTTTTTATGCTTTCCAGCCCTCAAAAACTGGAAACCTCCAATTGAGGAATTATATGAATGATTGCAATGTGTTTTAAAAGGTTTTGGGCTTCAGGGTTCACTGTGATGGTTCAATCAGTTAATCCTACACCTTCAAGCATTGAAATCCCATAAGAGTGCTGGTTGGTGTCCCGGCCACTCCACTTCCTTGCTTGTGATCTGGGAAAGCAGTACAGGACGGCCCAAAGACTGTGAGACTGTGAAACTGCACGGGAGACCCGGAGAAGCTCCTGGCTTCGTTTTTGCTCAGTTCCAGCGATTGTGGCCATTTGAGAAGTGAACCAGTAGATCCAAGATCTTTCTGTCTCTCCTTCTCTCTTCAAATTTGCCTTTCCAATAAAATAAATAAATCTCAAAGTATTCCATTTCTTACACAAATATTTGACATATATAATCTAGTCCATGTTTTAATGTAAGTGGTATTTAGTACTGCTTTCCTATTGCAGTACAGTATCTCATAGTTTATGTTTTGAGAAAGTTTCTTCAAGGTCTTATCCTTTTTTTTCCCTCAGCCATCATGACTTTCAAGGCAGAGTAAGGAACTAACCATAGTGAAACATACGTAAAATAATGCTTCCTAGGCTTGTGTTTACAAAGTCACAACAGAAATACAGATTCTTAAAGAGAGCTCACAAGATTTATTATACAAAGCTTAAAAGAAAAATTTACAAATCCAAGAGAATTGCTTTAACCATTATCGACACATACATAACCATATATCCAAACACACACAACCATATATCCAAACACACACACACACACACACACACAGTTTGTCTTCATGAGGAGGACATCATCTACCCAGTTCCACTCTACAAATGCATACAACAGCTGGGACAGGTTTGAGTTCGGAGCCCAGAACTGCATTCAAAGCACAATAGCCAAGGACTGCCACATGGGATGCAACCCAAGCAGAAACTTAATTTGCTATGCCATAACACATCCACACCCCAAAAGCTTTTTTTCCGTATATGATTTTATTGCTCTTCATGGCCTTATCAGGTAGGTTTGAAACAAAGACCTACCTCTACTCATAATCTTCACAAGAAATAGTCACTGGACTCAGAACCTGAACCAACCACAATGAAGAGAAGCTCACTGTCACTATCACCGACTATGACTATTCAATTTTATTTAGTTCTTGTAACACACAGGTTCATAAGCTGAAATCCTAATAACATCAGCAACACCCTGACCTAGAGAAAGTCCAAAACTTTTCTTTTACATGAAAGGCAGACACCTGAGAGGGATCTTACATTCTCTGGTTCACTTCCTAAACACCCACACCAATAAAGGTTGGGCCAGGCTGAAGACAAACTCCAAAACTCAACCCAGGTCTCCTATGTTAGCAGTAGGGACCAAATCACTTGAGTCATCACTGTTGTTGCCCAGAGCAGAGTTGGAAATGTAAACAGGGCCAGAATTAAAACCAGGCACTGTGATGAAGCAAAAAGGCATGCCAGATGGAGCCTTAAACACTGCCAAACACCTGCCCCTAAAAGTTTTTTTTTTTTTTAATGTGTTCAGGAAAATAAAGATAATGACTTCCGTGTTCTCTTGCTCAGGAACAAGCTGGTCAGGAAGCTGAGCCACAGCCTTGGCTTTTAAAGATACCAGAAGAACGGCCATTCTTGGGTTAGGACCACCATGACCAACCACAATGTCAATTCCGTAGAGAAAATGCGCATTGACTTACTCAGAGGAGCAATGGAAAAAAATCGGAAAGTGAAAGGACCAGTTCAAATGCCTACCAAGACATTGAGAATCACGACAAGAAAAACAGAGGACACTGAATACCATGTAAGAAGATGGAGAGCAGAACAGGCTGGGTAACCCTAGTTATCCGAGCTTTGCCAGCAGGTGTCTGGGTGGGTAGATGAAAACAGGGTGGACTCAACCAACAGACCTTAGAAGGATTTTCCGAACCCTGCAGCAGCAAAGTCAACATCATCTTAAAACTACCAAAAGCACTCAAGCAAAACCCTTGCTGCAATATTCTCCACATCAGGGGTTCTAGGAAGACACTGGGTAGACAGCTCTCCTTCCCAGGAGCTTAAGTAAAGGAACATTAAATCAAGTATACATTAAGGTGCAAAGGAGATAGTGACTATCTTGAGAAATAAAAAATTCCTTATGCTGGGTTTTGAAGGACAACTGGGAAAAATGCAGTAAGACAGCCAAGGCAGCAAGTCAGGTCTGGTAAATACAATGAAGCTCCAAACATGCTACTGAGTAGGCACAGAGCTGAAGATGCTCACAGTCCACACTGGAACGCCAGACAGCTACAGCCACTCTGCTTCCTAGTGTTTGTCAGGCTAACTTGGCAGCCTGTATTCACCAGCTGACTTCCCTCATGACCACACTGGCCAGGGTAGGACAGATCAAAGCCAGGATCCTGGGTCCAACAGTGTGGGCCACCTTATGTGGGCATCCATTAGCAAGGATCTTTAGCAACCTGGGGCTCACACAATGTCTCAACTGGCTAATCTCCCCACTGCAAGCACCAGTATCCCATGCAGGCACTGCTTCCAGTCCCTGCAGCTCCACTTCCCAATCCAGTTCTCTGCTTGTGGCCTGGGAAGGCAGCAGAAGCCTCTGTCACCCACTCCCGGTTCCCAGCTTTGACCATTGCAGCCATCTGGGGAGTAAACTAGCGGATGGAAGATCTCTGTCTCTTCTTTTCTACAAGCCTGCTTTTCTAAATAAAGCAAATAAATCTTTAAAAAACAAACACAAAAATCTTTAAATTCCTAATTATCTTCACCGTATTTGAAACAAAAAACTAAAATTACGAGAAACACAAAAAGCTGATACAGCCATGAAGTATCTACCAAAAGGCTCCTATTTTTTATTTCACATTTACCACGCATCAGGACAACGTCTAACAGAAAAAAGCTCTCAGCAGTGTTACAGGACAAAATACAACATGACCTTGGGTAAGTGCATTAAGGTGAGACATGCTGAGAAAGTTCACTAGAGGAGATTCAGTTAAGAACAATAATTCTGGGCCCAACACAGCAGTTCAGTGGCTACAATCCTTGCCTTGCACATGCTGGGATCCTGTATAGGCGCCAGTTCTAATCCTGGCAGCTCCACTTCCTATCCAGCTCCCTGCATGCGGTCTGGGAATACAGTCGAGGATGGTCCAAAGCCTTGGGCCCCATGCACCCGCATGGGAGACCTGAAAGAAGCTCCTGGCTTTGGGTCGGCTCAGCTGTGACCATTGTGGCCACTGGGTGGAAGATGATCTTCTCTGTCTCTCATCCTCTCTAAATATCTGACTTCCCAATAAAAATAAATTGAAAAAAGAACAAAAATTCCTTTTCCTAGCACAGGTGTCATAAACAAGCAAACCTCAAAATAAAGGCTTCCAAAATTAAGAAACACTACTGATTTCAGAAAAGAAAGTCATTCCAATGAGAATAAGAAACACTACGCTGGTGAAGGAGCATTTTATCCTACAGTCCTTCAGGAACCCCGGGAATCTCCAAACTTTAGTTTCCACATCAGTTACAAGGGGACAGTAGTTTCTAGCTCCACAGAACTGTCAGGAAGACCAAATGAAATACGGCAACAGAAGACTTAATCAGTGACAGCTATTACTATTGCAATTAAATAAATTTTTAAAAAATTACCAAGTGCTCAAATTTCTAATGAAAAGGAACAAAGAATGGCTAATCAATAATGTCATTTCTCCAACCCCAATAATTTTTTCCCTTTAGAATCATAAAATAACTTCAGAGATAAAATGCAAAACAAACAAAAACAAAACACACACACAAAACCAACGGAGCAGACTCCTGCCCTGAAAACGAAAGAGCAGTCCAAGCATCTAGCTTTATCGCCAGCAAACCTGGACAGCTTTCCAATTTGGTTTTCACTAAATAAACACCATTAACATGCGTAATTTTTTAAAGAGTAACGACTTTTTTTTAAGCAATTCATATGTTTCAAGAATGGAACAGGTGTTTTCAACTGATTTTCAGTTTTGTATCTCTGGATATATATAAAGAAAACTGAAGCACAGTCCCCATCTCATTTCCAAAATAAAGTAACAAAAATGAATTCTGAACTCCTTAACAAACTTATTGCAAAATATACACATGAGAAATACAGTAAATGAAAGCATTCACTACTTTTAGAGTAGCTTGTTCACATACTGGTATACAAATGACTTCCTTATTTGCATTTGTAATTTAGTTAAAAGATTTCTAAGCAAACAATACCATTCCTTACCTTTCCATTAGCTTCTCTTTATCCCAATTGAAGTGGCTAAGGAGTATTCTTGTGATAGTTGCAGGATTCTGAGGGGTGAAAACAAACAAACAAAAAAACATTTTTAAGGCAATAGCATCTCATTTAATGCCCTTCGATGTTAAACTTAAATTTCCATAATATCCTACCCATATTTTCTTCCCTGGAATATTCCTTTATTTCTTAATGGAACACAAAACTTTAATTATAAAGATCAAGATTACTTAAAGGTATTATGTCGTTTCTGCAGAATCTGCAAACAGCCAGAGAAATTAAATTCTAAAAGGTATTTCACTGTATTAAGTCACACATTAACTTTTTTGTAATTAAGATGACCACAACAAATGCTAATAGTTCTAGCACCCAAAGCACAGAAAAACTCAAAGTGTAAGACATGTTTAACTCAGAAAGTACTCCAGAAATACCAAAAAGCTAAAAGAAAAAAATTTCTACTATGTAATTTACAATGTGTGATCTTAGACTGCTACTTCATTTCTAGAAGGATAAGCTTTCATCATCTCTAGGACAAGCTAGCATTGTGAAATAAAACCAAAGTTTGCTATTCTATCATTCAGGACCAACACCAATGTCTACATTTTCCACAACACCAGTAAGCTTATTAACATAAAACATCACACTACACCACACACATAAGGGATCAGCAAAGCAGGACCCAGGGCACCAAGACACACCTCCAGAGGACCAGCTTTGGGAATCTGTGTGCTCCAGGCATGGGAGGCTCTGAATTGCTCAAGGAAGGATGGAGGACTGCTGAGGGAGAACATGACAGGTAAGAAGTGACTTCTAGTGGACTCCTTCCAACTACACTACTGCACTTGCAGGTGAACAAGGAGGCTGACACCGGGCAGTTTACAGGTGGACATTTTGGGGCCAAACTAAAACACTCACCCATGTGGGAGACCGGTCTTGCAGGGCCCAACCACAGTACAGTGTGGACCATGTTAGGCTGGGCCATGACACTAACCAGCATGTGAGACAATCAGGTCTGGGAACAGATTCTGTAGGGAATCCTGAGTTCACCCCTGTGGGACTACCACAGCAGTTGTTTTGCTCCAAGGCTGGGGACGGTAACCAGCGAGCTAGGCATGACCATGGAACTCACCAACAATCATGGGTACTAGGATTGGGAATAGGCCTGGCTGGTGCAGGCTATAGCACCCACAGGCGCACCTAAGAATTGGGTGTGGAGTGGGCTGGCCACAACATCCATCAAGCACAAAAAAGGCCCGGGGGGGTGGGGGGGAGGTAGACTGTGCTGAGTAAGGGTCTACTATCCACTGGCATGTGTAAGCTCTGGGTCTGGGAGCAGGTCTTAGGTCCACGAGAGTCAGGGGTGGGTGTTAGACTGGGCAGGACTGTTTCACTTGTAGGTAGATGTGTGGATTGGCTCTGGGCACAACTATCACACCTCCAGGTATGCATGAGATCCAGGGAACACGGCAGGGTGGACAGGGCTAGACTGCTGCACACACCAGCAAAAGCTGAGATTGGGGACTAGACAGGATGGGCCAGGCCAGCTGCAGCATCTGATGGTTAAGGCCAAGCCAGGGCATGGATTATGCTTGGCTGGTTAAAAACAACCACTGTTACACACGAGATCTGTGGCTGGGAGCAGGCCTGGTTGGTAGCTAAGGAGATGCCCCTACTGTACTGTGATTCCCACAAGTGAGGACAAGAGCCAGACTGTGGGCAATGAACTGGGTTGGACATGGCTACAGCATGCCTCGGCACAGGTGTGGACTGGGTCTGGGATATGCCAGACTGGGCTAGGCTGCAGCATCTGCTGGTGCTCTCAAGAACCAGGCTGGGTATAGGACAGGTTGGGCAAGACAGGGCTGGACTGTAGCACCCAATGGTAAGAGTCAGGATGGGGGTGGGATGGTCAGGCAAGGCCACTGTACCTGCCAGGACAGGAGGTGGGCCAAATCAGGCTGGGCCAAACACCCTCCCATGTGCATGAGATCTGCCACTAAGAGGTGACCTGATAGTGCAGTGTGGGAACTCCTCTTTTAGGATACGGTCCCTACTTACAAGCACAAAAATCAAGACTGGGAGCAGCCCAAACCAGGCCACCACAGCCAGTTCACAGCAGCCACTGGCAGATGTAAGAACCAGGACAGGGTACAGAACAAGCCAGGCTAGACCGCAACACCAACCAGTCCACATTAGAGCTGGGATTTAGGGCAATCCAAGCTGGGCTACTGCTCAAACACCCATTGGCCTACATGTAAGCTGGTTTAGAGGGAGAGTCAGGCTGATGCATGTATGAGCCAGAGTTAAGTGCAGGCTGGTAGGGTTTTGCCACAACACTATCTAGGCAGGTGCTGGGACTGGGGACAAGTCATGTTAGGCTAAACTGAAGAACACCAGGGAAGTATAAGATTCAGGGTTAGGAGTGGGTCTAATAAGGAAATTGTGGTATCCCTCAGATTGGCTGCAGCTCCCACCAAGTGTGCATGGAACCAGGACTGGGGATGGGACTGGCTGGACAGGCAGTGACACATGGTGGTGTTAGTGTGGGCTGGGTAAGTGGCATCATTTAGGCTGAACTAGGCCCCAACACCCAATGATTTGTACAAGAGCCAAATGGGATGCAGAACAGACCAGACCAGTCTGCTATACACACTGTCAAGCACAGGAAAGGGGCCTGGGGACAGGCTGGTAGGAGTCATCTGTGTAAGCTGCAGCTCCTGCTGGTGTACCTAAAGACCAAGTGTGTGGTGGGTAGCAGTAGGCTGGGCCTCAGTATCTGCTGTTTTGGTAAGACAAGGCTGGGAATACAACTGACCCAGCAACTGCAATCAGCAGCACGTGTGTAGGCTGATGTGAGTGATAAACTGAGTCAGATCCCACATTAGCTGGCAAACACAGGAATCAAGTCTGGGGTCACATCTGGCAAGGTCTCTTTGGGGATCCACGCCCCCACAACTGGATCTCTGGACTCTGAACTCCAACTATGGTGAAAATCACAGGATCTGTGGTCTGACCATGGAATGTATGTGTCAGGTCTGGGTCTCCACAGTTGCTGAAGCCTGTGCAGTGGACAGCATGCCCAAACAGACCTGGGGGATGTGACAACAGCTCACTGATGCCTGGAGAGGATGTCTAGTACCATGGAGGGCAGAACAAATTGGACAACTCCTCTCCTGGCCAAGCTTTAACAGCAAGTATCTGGGCAAGTAAAAACTCTAGGGTAGACTATGTCAGCCAATGGACCATGGAAAGATTTCCACATCCTTGGAGTAACAAAAATAAAGACATCTCAGAATTATCAAAACCATTTGAGCCACTGCCTCAGAGAATATGTCACAGCGTGGACCCCAGAATGTCATCATATGGCCATCCCCCATCCCCAGACACTGATGAGAGCGGCCCTCTCCTCTTCTCTCTCCACTTTCCCCCATTCTTCAACTCTCCCTCCATCCTAACTGGTGGTCCACATGGGCATGCATTATTCTTAACTATGTAAACATCATCAAAAATAAAATAAATCTTATATAAAGAAAAAAAGCTGCACATAGAAAGGGGCGAGGGGCTCGTCCATCTACTGGTCCACAATCTGTATGTCCACCATGAGCAGGGGTAGGCCATAAGAAGCCAGAAACCAAGAGATTCATCCAGATGTGTTTCAGGGGCCCTAACATCTAGACAACCTTCTACTGCTTTTTCCAGGCCATGATCCAGGAGCTAAATAGAAAGTAGCTGGGACATGCAATGGCACCAATACAGGATGCTCACACTACTGTTGGAAGCTTTATCCTTTTATGCTGCAACACTAATCCTAGTTATTTATTTTTTAATGTCTATCTACTGTAGAGTTACAAGGAGACAGGCAGACAGAACAGAACAATAATCCGGGCCCAGAGCGGTGGCTTAGCAGCTAAAGTCCTCGCCTTGAACGCACCCAGGATCCCATATGGGCACTGGTTCTAATCCCATATGGGCTCCACTTCCCATCCAGCTCCCTGCTTGTGGCCTGGGAAAGCAGTCGGGGACGGCCCAAATCCTTGGGACCCTGCACCCGCATGGGAGACCTGGAGGAAGTTCCTGGCTCCTGGCTTCGGATTGGTGCAGCACTGGCCGTTGCACTCACGTGGGAAGTGAATCATCGGATGGAAGATCTTACTCTCTGTTTCCTCCTCTTTGTATATCTTTGTGATGAAAATAAATAAATCTTAAAAACAACAACAAAAGAAAAAACAAAACGAACAAACAAAAAAACAATAAATAATCTACCAGTTCACTCCTGAAATGGCAACAACAACCCATCTGGACCTGGCCAAAGAAAAGGAGCCTGTAACCCCATCTGGGTCTCACTTGTGGATGGCAAGGGCCTAAGAACGTGGACCATCTTCTGCTGCTTTCCCAAGTACATAACCAAGGAACTGAATCCCAATGGAGCCAACTGAATCTGTTGTCTATGTGGGATACCTGTGCTGAAGGTGGCTACTTAAGCCACTGCCACCACCACACCAGCACCACAAAATGCACATCAAAGAAGAAATCCTAAACCATCGATAGTAGAAGTTAGGATTAAAATCTGTATCTCCAAAAGTCAAAACTGCACTAGTGTATCTTGACTCAGACTTCTAGGTATGACAATCTGCAAAATTATATATTAGTAACTAATATTAATATTAATATTACCACACCCATTGAAGACAGAAAATAATTATTTAGTGGACCATAATGTACCTAAAATACTTTTCTAACAAAGAACAGGGGGTTGAATGTAGGGTTTACAAGGTTAAGATGCTGCCTTCATCCTGTACCTGCCAATCTGAATCCCAGATGCTCTGCTTCTGATTCAGTTCTCTGATAATGTGCCTGGGAAATCAGAAGAAAAGCCCAAACAATTGGGCCTCTATGACCCACAAGAGACACAGATGAGTTCTAGGCTCCCAGCTTGACCTGTCCGAGCCCTGGATGTTGGGGCTATCTGGGAAATGAACTAGAGAGATCTATCTCTCACCGGTCTCCCCCTCTGTTATTCTGCTTTTGAAATAAACAAATCTTTTTTTTAAAGTAC